TATGTTTGTGTTGTGAGCTGAACGATCGACATTATATTGTTGCCTTTTTGGTGTGATTCATTTGTTGTGCGTGCCCAGCCCCAAGTGAACTTTACATGTCTAGAAAGTCAACTATATCAATTCATTCGGAATGTGATATATGCGTAAACAAGTAGACTTCTCCAAGATTAGTACTACTAGCTATGTTTTTCGACTCAGCTATACACTTTTTTTCTTTTGTCGTGTTTCTAACCCGTCTTAAAATTTGGTTTCTTGTCTCATAGATACAGGGACAAACAATTGACCAGGGCTTTTTGTTCAATACTAAAACGTCAAAATTTGTGTTCGTGATTTTATGATCTGAACTCAATCTCCGTTATACAACTATATAGATTAACGACATGGTTAGTTCGGACAGCATCTATAATAGACTTGTTTGTAACTGATATCTGATTTTTAACTTGACCCACCTCTTTACCATTCAGGTGTCCATCCGGTCATTTAAGGTTAACTTATATCCACAAGATCGAATCGGACCGGACTAGACTAGTCATAGTTACATTCTTGGTTGAAATGAAACTACCGGTTTGTGCCAGGGATCACGGAAAATGTAATTATTGAAGGGGTAGAGAGTGAGGAAGAAAGGTGATGGATGTGAACGAATAATGTAAATTTTAAATACATTCGAACAAAAAACAAGTTAAAATAAAGTATTAAACCAAACCAAATGATTACTTTTGCCAACCCACACTCCAGTCTCTTCCCCACTCCTGAAGGCCCATTAATCAGATTCATATTATTACCTATAATTATTATTTTTGCCAAACAAAAAAAGTTACACTTTCCCTCCTTGTATAAAACGAATCATGATTATATATTAAACACCCCCGCACACACGAACAATAATGTGAAGAAAAAAACAATCTCAGTACGAATTATATATGTATGTTTATCCCACGGATCAATGATATGTCATACTGACGTTGTCCTTACGGCATCAGGAAGCTAAGCTAACTTAACTACAGAAGAAGAAATATGCCTGAAATCGAACCAATTTTTTGTTATTAGAAAAAGAAAATTTTATAAACTAATCTTCATTTCCGTCTTTAGTAAAGGTTTACTATAAGAAAAGAAACTTATAATGACTAAAGAGCAAGCAGAGATGTGAAAAAATATAATATTCTGAAAGTTACATGATATAACAAAACACTGAAAATATAAAATAAGTATGTAATACAAGATTCGATATAAATCATTGTATAGTATATTTATTTCTTTCTTTCAAACTCAACGTTTTCACTCTATCGTATCCAACAATAACAATACGATTCTGTACTATAACAATAAAACTACGTGGTATAGACAAAATAAAAACAGTTAAAGGTGATGATACTATGAATCTATGATTGATCATACGTGTTCCGTTAATTATCATGTTTCTTTCTCTAGTTTTTTATTAGGGTTTAGAATAAGTGTTCCTTAACTGCTTGTTATAAGGAATCACATAATTATTAGTGTTATTATTTCGTTCGTCTGATCAACCAACGTCCGGGAACAGGGAGAATTACGTACGAAATATTTTTTTTTATCAACAATTACGTACGAATACATGCTAATGATCTAGCTAATGCTGCTATTATTGACGATGTTTAAAAAAAATGACGATGTTTATTTACCCACTATATATACAAATAGCACGAGGGGATGGTGTACGATAATTATTGTTAACCATCCATGCGAACAAATGTTAGTAGCATATAGGTTACTCCAAAAGAAACAATAAACCATATCTACGTCGTATACTTGTCTTGGTGGAACTCAACCAACTGTTTTAACCTTTTAACTAGAGTTTCGAGTTTTTTGGTTAGTGGCAAATACCATGTAGAAAAACAAGACCGGTATTATATGTTTGTACTAGGTAATAATCTATGTTTTGCGAGGATGAAAGTAATATTTTTAATATTTTTAAGATAAAAAATACTAGATCTGTTTACTTTGGATATTGGTTAAGTTTTAGACTATTCTTTTATTTTTAATTTACTAAAACATAGCTATCATTATAAATTCATATTTATTTTAATTACTCTATTAAAATTCTTCAGGTTTTTGATTTTTTTTGTGGTAAACAAAACTTATAATATTTTTTTTGGGTTTCATGTTCTATGAATTTTAGACATCTTAATGTTGAACCAATAATTTCATATAGTAAATTCCAAATGCATGAAAATTAAATCAAAAAAAAATATTAAAACAAAATTTATTACAATTTGGTCGAAGGTGAAAATAAGCTTTAAAAATATCTCATTCCAAGAAAATTAAATAATCACTTGTGGTAAAATTTTTGTTGTATAGATGCTTACATCAATGTTCACATATATATGTGTGTTAAAGTATATAAAAATGATAAATAAATATATGAGGATATCATCAATTAACATTACAAGATATTTTTGTTTAAAATGACATATGAAAGTAAAATTAAATAAAAATTTAATAGGTTTAGACATTGGTGATGTTTTTACAAATTATCTTTTTATGAATAACCTTTGTATAATTCACGGATTCTTGCAAGTGGTTTTTTTATTAAAAAAATTAAAATAGTATATAATATGACATATTTTTATAAATTTTAATTGAAAATCATTTTATACGTGAGACATTAACGTATTCATTTTCAGAAAACCGTCAAACTATCACTTGAAAAATATAGTGTATATGCATTAATATCAAATATTTTCCTTTTAATATACAAAGGATGTGTAATTAGAACAACCAACAATTTAAGATTTCTTGTGTAAGTAGACGTGTGGTTAACCCAATATATAAAATTTGATGATATACCATGCATGTTTATATATGTACACATGTATTATATAAAGGGGAAAAGAAGTGTATACATAAAGGGACAAAAAGTAGGCTTGGAATTTGATAAGCGGTGGGGTTTCTAAACTTGATCATAAAACTATTTCTAAATGCAATCTTGCAAAAGTTAAAAACAAGAAAGGTGACAAACTTTTCTCTCTTGGATGATTATTAATTCTGTATGCATTTATTTATCTTTCATTAATTAGGTGCATTTTTAACCAAAAAGGTAAAACAGGGACCTAATTCATCAAATCATAATCATGATATCCTCACACAGTGTACAGAGGAATAGATTTTCACCTAAGATATTTCATCATTGCTCCTCATAATCTATATATTCCTTTTTGGATTCCCAAAATAATAGCAATCGTATAAATTATCTGAGTACTACATCATTTCGTAAGAAAATGTGAAATCCTAGCTAGAAGATAGTGATACATGTGTTTATATTCCCATCACATCTACAGACTACAGCCCATTTTTCCATGGCCAGAAATTAAATATATATCGTACTGTTGTAAAATAAATTATGAAACGCCAGTTTTAGAGGATTTTGATTTGTTTTCGGATAGCATGATGAGAGAAGAGTGAAATTATCCCTTATTCGTTCGAACTCTTCATATACCATTACATCACATATATATTGAAAAAAACTGTCAAGTAATTCTCAGTTCATTGATTTTGAAAACGTCAAGAGGAATAAATACTACCACTAAGATTTTGATAAAATTAACAATACAAATTAGTTAGTTCGAAATAAAACAATACAAATTAGCATTTTCTAAGTTATCAGTTAAGATCAATCCAGACGTTAAAAGAAAGTTACTCCCTCTGTTTCATTATAAGTGTCACTCTACAGCTGTGCACACAGATTAAAGAAACAATTAATTTTACATATTTCCTATATAAAAACACAATTATCCGTACACCTAACCATATTTTAACCAATAGAAAAACAAATTACATAATAAAATTAATAAATTTTGCATTGAAAACCGAAAACGACACTTATTTTGTAACGCAAAAAAATCTCTATAATGACATTTAATATGAAACGGAGGGAGTATCAGTTAAGAAAAATTAGCATTCTGATATACATATAATAACATAACACATGAACGCCGTTTCAGGAACGTAACGGCACGCCGTGACAAAAGCTGACTGCCGTTTGAGCGACACGACGTTAACTACCACTACCTCCCTTCATCTTTTCTCTCGAGTGCCCTGACGCGTTTTCTCCTTTTTCTTCTTTCTTTCTCGATTTTTCTTATTTATTCCTTTTTTTTTTGTCCAGATGATCATTTAGCTCATAATAATGCATCTGAAAGTTGACAAAATAAAAACACATGTATCCCATGGAATTAATAACAACCTTGTAAGTTGGCAACAAATTTTTTTTTTGACACAAACTTAAACTTAAATCAGTTTTCTTTTTGTTTTGTTTAATGGTTAAATGCTAACTTGGCACATGATAAACAAGTTGTCTGCAGAATAAACAATGTTTCCTACAAAGGTGTGTTGATTTAAGAGCGCAAAATCAGATTAATCTGAATTTCAAAAAGCTAAGAGCATCAGAAGTGGAATAATTATCAAAATTATTCCCTAGCATTATATTAAAACTTTTAGTTTCTTTAGTTCTGTTTATTTTTAATCTGATATACCAATTAAATTGACACAGTTGATACAATAATCTCTTCATTAGTTAGAGTATGTTTACAGAGGGATTTTTTTTTCTTTTACATTCTATCTCTTCTTTTGCATTATTCAATTAATTTTTCACCAAAAAAAATAAATATCGGTTAATATTGAAGTCAAAGTTTTTTTTTTCTTTTTCTATTGAAGCTAAAGTTAAGTGATCTCTGTTGTCGCAACCGTTCTATTTTTTCATAAATAAAACGTCTTCAACCTCAAAATTCCTTAAACAAAAGCTGAAAATAGAAACTTTATAATTTGTATAGATATCAAAATCAGTTGTATTTGTTTTATTTTATTTTATTTTATCTTAGTTTCTAATCAGGGAATGAAAAACAATTAGCATTCTAGTCACATGTAAATTTTCCAACAAAGCCAATCTAATTGGACCTACCTGCAACTTTCTTTTTCCAACATTTATATATTTATCGAAACACTCACATGAATGGATTGGATTGTCTCAACACAAAACCAAACCAACTCCCTCTACTCTCTCTCCCACGCACACGCACAATCTCATCTCTTTCAAGCTTTGCGTGAAAGAAAGAAAGAGAGAGATAGATGGGTACGATAAACCAAGGAATAAGCTTTTACGATGAACCACAAAACATCATAAACCCTAACAGTAACCATCTGGGTTTTTTTCTCTCTTTCCCTAATCAAACATTACCTTCTTCGCTTTCATCCTCTCCTTCTCTTGTGTCTCCATTTATAGGTCATCACTCCTTAAACTCCTTCCTTCAAAATAATCTTCCTTCATTTTTAACTCATCATCAAGATCAGCCCATCAATTCCATGGCGAATCTCCCAGAAACCCTAATATCGACCTCCTCGTCAAAGCAAAAGGATGCTGCTCATCATGATGGTATAGTTAATCTTGATAATCATCGTCTTACCGGTGGTATATCATCCCAAAGGCCTTCTTTAAATCAATGGTATGTTACTTACGAAAATGGTATACCAAATAAGTTAGTCTCCAAGGATCTATTCAAATTACAAAACCAAAACAAATCAAAAATACTAAGGGTCGAAAAATAGATTTTCTACAACTACAACTTTATATCTCGATATCCTTTTCCCGACATAAGATACATCATATTCATCATATAACTATAATAGTTGGGGGGATTATTCTATGTATCAAGAACCTCAAAACAACTAAAAGTAATTTTCAATGCTTTAATATTCATAGCACTGCTCATTATATATATATATATATATATTATATGCGCACGCCAACATATACATTCCGTCATTTGAAATCTGTATAACTTTTGCTTCAGAATAAATTTCAATTTAAATTTACAATTTAAAAAGCATTTAATTTAATGTGTGTAAACTAATGCTCTAGTAACGTACACAACTATCTCTTATATTTTGTACATAATTTTTTTTTTTTTTTTGAGGTGCCATGCACTCATGCCACAGCTACTTATGTCAAACGCGTTGTGTTAATGTTATTTAGGGCAGGGAGTTGCCAATCAGAATATGGATACAGTAAGAAAAATAACCATGAGAGCGAGATACATGTAAATGATATTGATGATGATGTCGGTAATGGTGGACGTATCAATGATGATGAGGATCATCAACATCATGATACTCATCCTCGTCGTCATAAACATAATACGACGCCGGTAGGAGTAGTGTGTACTCTAAAGATGAAGAAGCTTAAGACAAGAAGAAACGTAAGGGAGCCTCGGTTTTGCTTTAAGACGCTAAGTGATGTTGATGTCTTAGATGATGGATATAGATGGAGAAAATATGGTCAGAAAGTTGTCAAAAACACTCAACATCCCAGGTATTTTGTTTTTCTTAGACTAATTCAATCAAAAACTAGCTAGCTTCATTATACTGATTCGAAATTAGTTTATAATTTGCACCCTATTTCTTTGAAATAATTTCAGTGCTTATCTAGTTAATAATATGATTTGCATATCAGTTATCTCTTATAGGAACTTTACCGACTTAAATCAGAGTTTTTCAAGTTTCTATCGTTAGCAATATATATGATGAGAATATGTAGCCTGTAAAGAGTTCAACTGTGTTGCATCTAAATACTAAAATTGCTTTGGTACTTTGCTAATGAAATTGGAAATTATTAGTATAATATTGTTTTAGACTAATTATCAGTTCTATGATAACAAAGACTTCTGGCCCAGTGGGAATATCACTAATTACACAATTTTTTTTTTTTTTTGAAAAAGACAACCGTTTACAAAGAGACAAAAATAAAAGGGTAAATGATTCATGTGGAAGCATTTGAGTATTATGTGAGACATATGGGGTTTCCTTAATATTCTCTCTGTCTCTCTTTCTGAAGTTGACATTAAATTGAATTTACCAACAATGATTTGTTTGAGTAATTGGTATAAATAGTTTTTACAAATTATAATATTTGAGTTCTTTTGTAAAGTTTTATCATGAGCTCGATCGGTAGTAAAGTTCCATTTTACTCTCGGTATCTGTTTGATATAGCACTAGATATATACGGTTTCCCATACAGAAGAATATGTTCCTTTGATATGTGAATCTTGATCTAGTTCACAATATGAAATCATTTTTCATCAAAAATGATAAAGTTAGGATAAGTAGTTAATTTATTACAATTCTCAAATGGCAGGAGCTATTATAGATGCACACAGGACAAGTGTAGGGTGAAGAAGAGAGTGGAGAGATTAGCAGATGATCCAAGAATGGTAATCACTACTTACGAAGGAAGACATCTTCACCCTCCTTCTAATCATCTCGACGACGACTCTCTCTCCTACTCTCACCACTCTCCTCTCTCCAACTTCTTTTGGTGATATTATAATTCCTCTTGATTGTTTATATCTAAAATTAATCAATATTCCTGCCTCAACACTAATCATCGCTATATTAATCAATACCTTGATAATAACTAATAACTACAGTATATCTATATTCTCGTTAGGAAATAGGTACGTGGCTTTATATGTGTAATGTTTTTGTGTGGTGGCCTAGGTTTGTTTTTATAACATTAACAATGTACTTTTTACAATCTGAGGATTATGTATGTGGACGTGTCGGGAAGCGATTCCTTATTCTGTGGTGTGATTGGCAAAGTGTTAGACCATCTCCATCCATTAGTACCCCTAATGGGTACTTAAGAATAAATAAATATTTATTTTTGTGATTTGAAAGTTTAAGTATCCCTGTTAATCTATTTAATTTTTTCATCCTCCATTGGTAGGACCTAATTGAGGTTCTTACAAAAAAAAAAAAATATTTTGGTAGAGGAGGTCCAGCGTTCAGAACCGTAGCTGGAACGTTCTGAACCGTAACCACCACTTCTTGGTCCTCTTGAGAATGATTCCTCCCTCTTTGGTGGAGGAGATCCAGCTTTAACCCTCAAAGCTCTGCCTTCAAGTTCCTGTAAGTTCATGACAACAAGATTAACAACAATAACCACAAGGTACAAAATCTAAAAAGACAAGCTGCTTCAATCTTATACAGAACAACATAAATCACAAAGTCTCCACAAACCAAATAGAGGATAAACACCATTCCATGAAAAAACTAAAGCCAAGACATGAATAACATTAAACACACAAGTCAAAAACAAAAAGGACACGTATAGACAATTAGACAAAACAAGAAAACATCAAAAACTCACACAAGTACGAATAACATTACACAGACAAAGCCAAGAACAAGTAACAACACATAGAGAGACAATTCAATAAAACAAAAAAATTCTCAAAAAAATACTTATATCAACAAGACAAGAGCACAGTAAAGAAGAGGAGTAATCTTCTTACATAGCCATTAAACTACTGAGCAGCTGCCTCAACTTCAGCAGCAGTAGACATTGTCACAAACCCAAAACCTCTGCTCCTGCCAGTAACTTTGTCATAGATTACCTACAAACCAAACCGAACCCATTTCAAATCAAACCTCATCTCATCTTCAAAAACCCACTTCAAAAATCTCAACTTTTTCATCAACAAATCTATAAAGCACCAAACTTTACAAACATAATTAGTCAAATCTCATCTTCTCTTCAAAGATCCAATTCAAAAATCTCAACTTTAATCAACAAATTTATAAAGCACCAAACTTTACGAAGAGAAGAATTAGCCAAATTTCATATACTTTTCAAAGACCCAATTCAAAAATCTCAACTTTAATCAACAAATCTATAAAGCACCAAGCTTTACGAAGAGAATTAGCCCAAATTTCATATTCTCTTCAAAGACCCATTTCAAAAAAGCTATGAAAAATCTCAACTTTCATCAAAAAAAAACTATAAAGTACCAAACTTTATGAAGATAATTAGTTTATACCTTAACCATCTCAACAGTTTCAGCGCTCTCAAACAGCTGAGCAAGCTGAGCGCTATCAACATCGAAAGAAAGGTTACCGCCGAAGAGTTTGAGGTCAGCGGAGAAGGAGTTACGCTCTTGTGTCGGCGGGGGAGAATCATCGTCAGTGAACATGTCATCTTCCTTCACTTCGAAATCTGATGATACAGCGACGTTTCTGGCGAAACACGACGAGTCGAAGGAGCATTTGACGGCGGAGGAAGCGAAGAGAGGGTTGAGTTTGAAGGAGAGGCAGGGGCGGTTCTACTTGCTCGGGACAGAAACGACGACACTCCAGACAGACGACGAGGTTTGCTTCAAAATCGCCGAGTTTCGAGTGAGAAGACGGAGAAGTCGAGAATGCATGTCTTTTGGTTGATCGTCACGAAGGAGAGAGAGATTTTGGTTGCGGTCCAATGATAAGAGGCCACATCAGGGTGACTTACCAAAACTACAGAGCCCAGTTTCAGGAGCGTTACTAATATAAATTGGGCTTTTTCATTTAATTTTTATTTATTTTTGGGTGTCTCTTGGGTTTAGTCACCCCCGATGGAGGTGCTCTTAAGACCTTGTAGTTTGTATGGTAAAATATAGATGCAGTATATGGTCGCATCAAACACACTCAAGCCCATTCATATTCTCTTTTTTTTTGAGTCTTTTCTTACACTCCTTTTCCATTTATCTCATTGTTTTATTATTCTTCTTTTTTTTTCTTCCACAGCTTATTCATCTAAATAATTTTTCTTCATTAAAAATTAATTGACAGACGAAACAAAATAATTTTTATTCGTTGAAAACTAATTGACACACGAAACAAAATATTAATATGTTTAATTATACCATAGACTGAAAAATAAACATTGCGATATATTTAAAATCACTAATAGTTAACAAATGTGTTATTTGTAACAAATAATGTAGATGTTAATAGATGTGTTAACTGTTAACAAATATATGTCCTAAAAGTGTTAACTGTTAATAAATATTGTAGATTTTAATAGAAATGTTAACTGTTAACAAATACATGTAAAAGATATATTAACAGAATTGTTAATTGCTAACAAATATTGTAATGTTAACAGAAATATTAGGTATTAGCTGTTAACAAAATAGATAATGTAGAATTTTTAATTTTTAATTTTTAATCACAATGAGTAAGTATAAAAATCAAAATTATTCTTGAAAACCACATAGGAAATAAATATATGTATTTGAATGTGTGAAAAAATAAACCGATAAAATTAAAGATCTAAAACTACATATGAAACAAAAAAAAATAAAATTTAAAAATGAATTGGATATAAAATAATAAAGATTTGTATAATAATTAAAGATTGAAGCTACAAACATCAATAGGATAACAAAACTATATATGAAAGTAGGAAGAGAGAGAATAAAGGGCAATTTGATCAATAAATCTAAAGGAGTCGTCAATGTAAACCATAAATTAAGGGGTAGAAATTAGTGTCTCATCCAATTATCTCTTCTTTCTATATGAACCCATAACTTTTAAACGTTTGTAAAAGCAAACGTTAAACGGAAGTAAGTTGTTCTTCTACGAAAATTAGAATTTTGTTTCTAAATTAGATGCGCAATTTCGATGTCAATTGTTTTTTATGCAACCTCGCAACTTTTGCGTTTAAAATAACCGAGAGTACGAGACCATAGCAACAATATCTTCAGTTCGTGGGCCTTTGTTCATCACGGGCCTAAGTTCGCATATAAATGGGCTTCTTATATCCGAATTCATGTGTCAACAAAAGTTGTGTATATTAAAGGGCAAGAAGTGATAACTTAACTTAGGTCTTATGGGCTTCTCAACGAACTTGCACGTGAGCGGCCGGATACCCAAAGATAAAGCTCAGATGATAGGAGCACGTTGATCTGAAACCTTTAAAAAAAGGTTTCTTTTATGAACTCAAACCTTATTACAAAAAGGAAGAATAAGATAAAACTAATATTAAAAGGATGAATCATAAGTTACGAGGACATGAAAAGCTGAGACCCGTTAGCTCCGCCGAGTCCGAGGGAGCCCACGTGAGACCCTCGTGGACTGCACGTTCGCACCCTTAGTTCAAGTACAATTGTTCAAATGAGATTGGGAATTAAAAACGAGAAAGCTGAGGGAAGCTACGAGGAGATGAAAGTAGTTTATAATATTTGAAGTTTCACTAAACATTGACGAAATCTGAGCCATCGCTTTTTGTTTCTTTGTCTCTTCGTCGTGAAGAAAGAAGATTCCACGGTGAGATGAATCCACCGATTTATTCTTTTTTATTTATTTAAATTATGAGATTATCTGTGAAATAACCAAAAATATTCTTGTTAGTCTTTAAAAAGATATTAGAAAAAGATATGAAGAGAAAAAATGACATAGTGACTTTTGGTTTTAAGTTAATTTGGGTTTTTAATGTTATTGGGTGGATTTTCACTTAAATTATATTTATATTATTAGTTTTAATTTTGGGGGTAAAATGTTAAAATTTATATTGTTAAAATTACGATTTATTTTATTTATTCTACATAATAAATAGTATCTATTCGTAGTTATAACTCGGCTTGAGCATGTCAATAAGTGTTGATATATTTAAAATATTAGATGACAAAACCAAAGTGTACCAGACGATAAAAATATTAGATAACAACATATGATTATAAGTTTTTATAAAAAAAAAACATTTACGTTTATACAAGTCAGATATTGTATCTTCTTGAAACATTTTAACAGTGGTTAGAGAGACTGACAGTTACTCGGTTAGAACAACTTTGACTACTTTTCTTCATGTGAAATAACATCTTACTGATAACAATTCCCATAAAAAAATCAGAGTTGTTTGTACGGTTAAATTTTAGTTTTTATTTTTGTACGTTTGTGTAGTTCGTACAACGTAAAACCTCGAATTTGAGAAGAAGCATTCGCACGTGCGTGGAGGTTTGTCCGTGAGATTGAAGCCTCATAGAAAGAACAAAACTACTATTAGATTGATTCAACTTCAGATTCTCAATCTCATAGACAGCTGTGAGCTTTCTATATAGGCTATACGTATTTGTTTTGTGGATTACGTACGTGCAGCATTGCAATCCTCCACTTATTACGTTTCTACTTACAAAAAAAATATCTAAATGCATGGATCGCCTTGCACTCGACCCATATACGTATTCGTATGTACATGTAGTCTTTTAAAGTAATGTTTATGTACATGCAGATACACGCCAAGTTTTTTTAACGAGAATTGTTGGTTTAAACAATAGAAAACATTAGTAAGTCACAGAATCATTTTGTGAATATGCAATTTTGTCAAACTGCATAATTGGATGGAAACGTGAATTTTGTTTTAGTATTCTGTAATTATACGAACTTGATATGATAGGGAGCCAAATTCTTCCACAGTTTTGTACGTAAATCAGTTATGATCTGTTTACTATTTTTTTTTCTTTGGTTTCACCTGTAACTTGACATCTCGTGTAATACTATCACTGGCAAGGCTACCACCCAGATATAATTTTGTTAAGTAGTGGCTGTTTACATTGTTCCTATTCCTGTAATTAATTATTTGTCCTGATTTCTTGATTTCAGACAAAGGACAATGAAAGTAGGAAACCCACCACGTACGTACGTACCCAATAAACCCGCTTAAGTAGTAGAGTTATTGACAAGTGGTCAAAAAATAATACATATAAAAAACAGCCATATGAAAATCTTAATGTATTAGGGAGATAATAAATTAATTAAGAGAATCGTATGGATGAGAAGGAAACACACGTGGGAGAGAGAGAGAGGAAGAGGTCCATTCGGCGGAGACAGGAAAGGGACGGAGGACCACGGCGGAGGGAGACATTGTTGGGGTAGTATCCGACAAGAACAGCTTGCATGCACGGTGGCCCACCACCGTCGCCCGTGTTCACGCTTCATAGCTACTCATACTCTTAATTCGGTGATCTCGCTATTCTATAAAGGTTGCTACCTTGGAACAAATGCGAAATGTCAGTATGTCATCTCCGTGAGTTTTTTTTATACAAAAAAGCGATTGTGATTATTATTAGACTATAGTATTTGAGACGTTTTGCTTGTTTGTATTTAGTGTGACATTGATGACTAAATTATAAAGAGATGTAAAATAATAGATTTCTGTATGTTGTGAATATATTATATTCTTACAAACAAATTTTTTTGAATGATGCATGTAAAAGCTACAAATTACCCGGAGAAACCTTTCTTTTTAAGTTTCATCAAAAGAGTAAACACATGATTTGTTTTGAGTTTGGGTAGTAGTGAGAAAAGAAAAGTAAACAATTGAAAAGGAGAGAGGAACACAGACTTCGAAGAGCGACGGGAATGAAGAGAGTCCACGTAACTGGAGAGAGAGATGGGAGCACATGAGACGCACGTTCCTTGTGTAAGATTTGTTGTGCTTATGTTGGTGCACTGTCACAGAGACATGAAACCCAGACTTTGTTTTCTTTTAATTTCAGGGGAAGGTCCATTTCTCCAACCAAAAAAAAAACGGTTCAAGATAAAAAATATATATTTCGATAGAAGAAACTTAAATAAATAAAGTTGCACTGAACAAATGTAGATGGAAATATGGTAAAACATTTCAAAAAAAAAAAAAAGGTACAAACGGATCAATTCACCTTTATAGTACTAATAGTCTATTAGGTTGAAAATTAAGAAAAAGAAAGTACTAATAGTACAGAAAAGAAGAAGAGAATAGCAAACATTTTATATGAAAAACATTACGCCCAAGAAAAAAACCCAAATTTAAGCCTCATCTATTATTACTTTCCCCTTCCCGTGCACCTTTAGTTCCACAAATTAATTCCGACAATAGTTAAGTAATAGATCACGTGTGAAGATGATGATCGGTCGGCATTTAATACCCAAAAACTATATGGATTTTTCACGATTCTTTTCACATGTTAAAATTATTACTTCAAGAATTTTGTGGAAATATTCATACTTAGAATTAAAGAAAACATTATCCAAATCAAAAAAGAAAACTGAAGTTACAAAAAAAGAAAAACTGTATATTTACATATTCTTAACAAAGTTGCTACTCTTTTCCCTTCTCCATCCCCCCCATTTGAAACTAACCAAACATCCGGTCTTATGTATAAATAACATAAATACATACATACATTTTAGAATACAGTAGAAAGATACAAAAAAGAATCAGACCAAAGGAAAATTGGAGTGGCCGGTGTTCAAAAGAATGAATCATCGTTTGGTTCTGCTTCTAAACATTTCAGAATTTTCCTTCAGGCACTTCTTTAATACTCATATCAACCATCTCTATTGTACTGAACCCTCCATCACCTATTGATCCGATCGTCGACTGCGAATCTATCCCCGACCCCGCTTGTAT